ATTGTACATACTTCTCCACTATCGGACCGACTAGGCTGTTCTGTCCACTTTGCACCTTTTCCTACTACGGAGCTCGTATCTTGACAGTTGTTCTTTGAGTAATCACGCACGTTGGGGAATCCACTGTATTTTGTATTGTCGAAATGCAGTAGATGTCTTTGATGCCGTTGCCTAGGCACATCTTGGAGAAACCGAGCTCCCCCATACATCATCTATCTCATGGCTTGGAGTTCCACGGCGAAACAAACATCACACCGTCACTTTTTTCATCATTTCTTTTTCCCTTTTCACATGTCGCGATCCTCGAGTCTAGATTTAATAGCGAACGAGCGCTTTGGGCATTGGCAGCATTTCTTTTTAGATGGACTACGCATGCGGATGCGGCATATAGTATAGACCAATCAAGACCCTTTGTCCAACACCGTATGCGTTATCGATTGTCGCGCTTCGCTCCTGCTATGCTTACGAAGGAATGCGACGTTGCTTATAGGTTCGCGCACGCATCGTTATCTTACCTTATAGCCTGGATAGCAACAAAGCCGCCCACAAGCCCTGCGACTGTGAGTTTGTCTCGCGCAAGGCCATGGAGATTGATACGTCTCCATGCAAGTGACAAACTTCAAGCTCAGAAGCGTTCTTCCATGGGCCCACTAATGCCCTGTGGTTTCCCTTACCCAGCGAGTATGGATAGTCAAGTTTTCGTTGAACCGTTTCGGAGAGCCAAAGGAGGCATTGCGACCATCACGATACACCCCAACAACACAGTGGTACTCGAAGATAGATATTGCTATGAAGAAAGAAGAAAAATGAAAGACTTTTAAATAGTACGAAACAATGGCGTGCTCGCAACCCTTATCTCTTACCAACGCAGCCTCGTGCGGGGTCCTTCACCGGAACCACCCCATATGAGCCCGACTATGAAGGAAAGGGCGTGCATATGCACATACATATAACCTGCATCGTATAAGAACATGCAGCAAGGCAAAAACCCATAATAGAAACCCCGAGTAAACCGATACAAGCCTGGTCTGCGCACCATTTGCCTACTGTGAGGCTCAACACCTCTGCACCGAACTGCGAACTTCCACTCCCTCGTTCGTCGCCTCACTTACTGACTCAACTTCTCATTGCCAATTGTAAAAGGGCACGGCGACCCGTCCCCAACCACTCACTGACACGTGCCTCGCCTGCAGCGCCCCTTTGAATCATCCGACCAATGCCAGACCAACGGGTCAACACACCTCTTTGGCGTCACCAACTCATCGCCCATCTTACTATCGCAGCGTGCCAGCGACGATGGCCGCAGTGGTAGTGAGGATGAGCTTGATGCTGAGGGTGCCGCGGTCGGAGATGTAAGCGGACGGGAGAAATCTATGACCACGATGCTGCCCGATGTGTTGTCATCATTGGAGCCGTAAGAGCGCCCTGGTTTGATCATGAAGACTAGGCGTTGGGAGTCGAGGACGCCGGTTACGCTGCGTGTGGCGGAGGATGATGAGTTGATGGTGGGGAGTGTTGGGTTGAGTATGTTGTGGAGGCGCGCTGAGCAGGGACAGCGTGATGAGGGAGGAGGCCACATGCGGACAGGCGACTGGCGGTAGAGTGTTTGCGTATCCACGAAGGAGGGCTTGGTGTCGTCGATGGGGGCTTTCCCTTTGCTGTTGCTGGTGCTGTTGTGAGTGGAAGTGAAGGCGAGGCCTAGTTCGCGGCGAGATCCTATTCGCAGTCTGAGGCATGGTGCTTGCGAGGGGTTGTTGCAGCAGCGGTCGTCTTCGACTAGATCAACGAAGGAGGTGCATGGGTAGCTATAGGCCCTGAACTTTGTTCGAGAGAGGGTGAACGATCGGGGTGGGTTGTCAGTGTGCGAAAACTCAGGGTGTTGGCTCCAGCTGTAGAGATCGGGTGTGGGTTTCCAGTGAGGGTTGTTCGATGAATCTATGAGCGGGAGGAAGAGATCATCCTCAGGCCCGAGTAGTTCATCAGATAGTTCCTCAATATCGTCCTCGTCACGAAAGTCCATCTTAGTAACGTAGAAGGTGCGTGACTGGCGAGAGGATGCTTGGGCCCACTCTCGACGCGACTCCACAATCACCGTCTCGTTTGTACGCTCATCAAGCTGTAGTGCAAGGTCGGTCCATGAGTCGTGAATTGGTCCTTGCTTGTGCTGTCGACGAAAGAGGCGCTCATCTTTCTGAACGTCATCCGGTTTGTCCAGCGGAAATCGGACCACATGGTAGAAGGAAGTATAATCGATCTCTTCAACTTCAAAGGTGCCCTGGTTAGAGACTGCGTAAAAGTAGTTATTGTGGATTTCGAACGCGATGGTGGAGCCGATGTCAGATCCGTGAAACTTATCGAGCAGTACTGGTCTTTCGCGTTCGGTTATCCGAAAGTCTTCATGGAGTGAGATGCCCTCAATCTCCCATTTGTGATGACCGTCATCGCCGATTCCAGTATGTGTGCCGTAGTATAAATAATGCTTATTATGTCTAACAAAAAGCTTAGAGCATTCGCTCAGTCGCACCGATTCGATCACTTTTTGTCCATCCGCAAGGTTTGCAGCTGTGTTGATGGCGAATATGTGGCTGTCATCCGAGTTGTACTTTGGTATAGCATGCACAGAGAGGATCTCATCAGCATAGTAAAGTAAGCGCACGCTGATATTACCAAAGGCTCTGAACTTCGACTCCAAAACAGGCCGAATGATAGCTTGGAGATCGAGAGGGATAGCTTCCTTCCGCGAATTGAGATCCGTGACGAGGACCACCCCAGCGTCGAAAACACATATAGTCCCCTGTCGATACAAAAAGTTATTTCCTAGGCCCAGAACGCGAGCCGAAAACGGGTGCGCGGTTGACAAAGCATGTCTTCTGTCATAAATAGCCTGAAAGGCTTGCTTGTAGGTAATCTTCTCTGTTCGGGCTAAAGACGCCTCCTCGGTGTGGGGATAGTTGATCTATAAGCAGCGTCAGCCTTTGGTGTAAGCAGAGTGACCGTTTGGCACCATCTGACCTCGACAGCACGCCTGACAACTGTCCTTTCGTCTAGTACGGCTCTTAAGTGTCGACATGTTTGGCTGAGATGAACAATATCCTCGAGATCCAAATCGAAGGTGATACAGAAGAGTAAATCAAAAGGTAGCCGATCAAGGGAAGTCGTCATAGAACGAGATAGAGATGTATAGAGACAAGGTAAATAGGGCACGTGAGCGAATTTCCATACGAGTAATTGGCTAAGAAGAAGCAAGATCTTGAGATCTGGACAAGAAAAAGGTTTCAAGCTAACAGTAGGTGGCGTAAGTCAGCTGCAGAATACTGCTCGCTGGATGTGCAGAAAGCACGGGCTTTGAATGCCTCGCAGTTGCAGAGCCGCATCTCAAGTAGGGCGCAATTTCATGCTAGGTTAAAGTCTGACCCATGGGAATAGCGTCAGCGCTTTGCATTTAGCGTAATCCCTGGTTGCACTTCCTTGTTGCGTCTGTGGAAGGCTGAGAAATAACAGGCTATGTCGACCCGATGTTATTCTGTGGGTGGAATTGGGGCCACGATGTGTTCCAAAACTCATACCGACCAAGGGTGGTCATTTGCCGTGTCGCATGCGTCTTGAGATACGACGATGTTGGGTGCGACAAGAGTTGGGTTGTGCCATGTGAGCCGCATCAGTGGAGTTCCACTAGCGGTAAGCATGCGGCTCTGCTCTTGTCAGGCAAAATCAGGTACGCCACACAACCCTGCTCTTCTGATACTCTTAGCCTGCTAGTAACCCCACGCAACCATGAACCAAGGGATCAAGACTAAGTGCTAGCTATGAGCAGCTGATGGATCGGCACGCTTTGCGATATCGCTTCGACAAACCCGAATGATTCTGGACCCCATCATGCTGTGCGTATCCATGCACGATTAGTACATACTCAGCCTTGTCCTACGACCGTTGCGGCTTCGACAAGAACACTTGACCCGCCAGGCTAAGTTCAGGGCCGATCCAGGCTACTTCTCATTCGTCCAGTGCTGTACTCGTACAGCTTGAGGCACAGTTTCGTGTATGTAGTCTTCTGCATGCTCAACGCCCTTGGCCCGCACTGCAATCTCTAGCCTGGACGAGGCCTCTCGGGAAAGCGGGGAATCGGGGAGTTATCCTACAGGTGATAGTGCATTAGAGCCTGAAAATTCAGGAGACTGTCAATGAGCCCCAACAGGTGGTGGACTGTGCAGTACGCCATCGGGCATCGTATACATGCGGCTATTCATGCAATCAATTCTCGCGAAGCGTTTCTCTCTTCCTGTTTGGTGCAAAACGATATCGAGACACTGCTTGCGGAAATCCTTAGTGAGGGGACTACTCGAATGAGGACTGAGCGCCGTCAATGCAGCAAGTGGCCCCTACGACGACGAATGATTATGTGCCTCGTTATTTCGATGGTGTCTGAACGGTACCGGGAAATCGCGTCACCCCGTCAAGACTGTCGCACTCCTCGAAAGTGTATAGCCTTGCCAGCTGTTACAGCGCCCGACTGATAGGCTCCGAGTCTCGTGGCACGTCGTAACGTGTCCAGCCGCGCATGACTGACCACGGTTGCTCATGTGTTCCGTCGCATCGGGCTAGGGCAATGAATCGGCCCATGGAAACGGAAGCGGAAAACGGAAGCGACGCGGCGGGGTCCAGTCTGTAGGTGTGGATGTTCGTCCTCCAGAGCAACGGGAACACGATAGCTCAGAGATAGCAATGCGCATCCACTCACTGCTCTGGACCGGCGCGTTGGCGTTCGTGCCCTTCCCACCCGATATACGGCCAGCCGTTTGGTAGGCTCGAGTAGGGCGGCAGAGTGTATCGTCCTTTACAGCTTCCCGCATCCGGACAATCCAGGTCGCATAAGCCGAAGGTCTTGCAGTAGCATTCTTTCGCGGTTGGGCAATGGACCGGAGGTTTGCCGAAAATCACTATCAACCATATTAGCACATGATCCACGCCACTTGAAGAAGCAAAAAGCGCGCAGAGCCTCATCACGCGCGGGGTCGTGAGGTAGGGCGCGAAATGCCAGCGGATGTCGACTTACTGTGCCAGGAGTACTCAAACACCCTCCCACTGATAGCATCCCCCAGTTCAGTCCCCATAATCCAATCGCGATACTTCTCATACTGCTCCTTGCTCCTCTCCCTAATCTTGTCCCTCGTGGCCGCAAACTGCGCACAGCAGCTCACCCCAACAGCATCCGGCACCTTCTCCCCCGGAAACAGGCTCTCAAAAGCCTTCTTATACTGTCCGCCCGCATGCACAGCCTCTCTGTGTTCGCCCGCTTCCGCCAGCGGCTTGATCTCGTTGGGGCAGCCGAGGGACCAGGCGCAGCGGATGTTGACGTAGCCTTCTTTCTCGAGGTAAGGCAGCTGGAAGTGGCGAAGCATGGGGAGGCCGTCGTAGTCCGGGTCGTCGTTGTGCCATTGGTAGCGGTTGGGGTGGATGAAGAGGACGTTGTCGGGGAGGGACGCGTAGTGGTCGATTATGTAGCTGCGCGCGTATCCGTCGTTAGCATGGCAGACATGGGACGAAAGATAGTATGGATGGGGACGTACGTTAGATAGACCATGCTCTCTCGGCCCTTGTTCTTCGGCACCGTGAGCTCCGCGTTCGGATCGTCGACATGGTAAATATTCTTCTCCCAGTGCGGAAAGTACTCCTCGAGCCACGTTGCGTTCTCGGAACTCTGGCTAGCGACCACGACGGCGGTCCGACGCGCTTTGATGCCATCGTTTGCTTTTAGCGGCTTCCCTTTCGGGTTGTGCGATGACTCGTCTGGCTGCTGCTCATCGTAGAGTTCGTCGGGAAGGTGCGACTTGGCCGATCCAGCTGAGGCCGCCGTCTTGTCCCAGAGCTCGAACTTCAGATGGACGAAGAGCGCGGTGAGAAGGACGATATTGACGAATATGACGACATTGCGAGCGGTGATTAGACGAGGCATGGCGCCACAGAACAAAGTGCCCACGATGTTTGCACGACGCTTTCCGGAAACCTGGGGACTGGCATATCACATGCGAACACCAGGGTGTGATCGGCGCTAGCCGATTCAAGCTCCCATTAGCGCAGTACCGAAGAAAGAGCTAAAAATGCAGAAAGATGATCACATTTTCGTACTATCATCTTAGCACTTTGAAATGCATTGAAGCTCAAAGTCGTTTTATGCTCTGCGTAGGGCCCGCTCCGCAAATACCGCAATTCTCATTCGCGATTTCGAAAAGCCCACCATCGCTATCACAATTGTGCTCAGACACCAGCATTGGCATGTCCTATCCGGGTAAGATGTCTGATAAAGGGGTCTACAGATAGTCATTAAGTAGGTCCGCGTCCACAATCGACGGCGTTGTAATAGACGTCGACTGTTGGAGCTGAAGCAAATTTGCAATGCTCGGTGGTGATGCTGTATTTCCCGCGCTGATGCTAGAGACACGTGGTACCATGGTTGGCGGATTTGACGCGATTCTATCGTTCAAGAGGCAGAACAATGCATTAGCACCATCTTCGGCCATGGTGCTAACTTGAGAAAGTGTGCAGAGGCGAGCGAGTGCATCTGTCGTAGCTTCAACGCACCGTTCGCGAGTGAGATGCAGCGTGCCTGCTCCGAGAGGATTCATCTTGTGCGTATGAAGCGGACTATCTACACTGCCAGCTGGGAACTCAGTGTCCTCACACACCGCTATTAGCAGCACCGCGGCTTCGAATGTCGGCAATACAATGCCTGGGAATCTGGTCTGAGATCCTCCCAGCATAGTGTGCAGCTTTGAGATCTCATCTAGCACTTTGAGTGCCGCCACTGCGAGCGCCTTCTTCTGCGACGATAGCAGGACTTGCTTGTATGCAGGAAAGTTTTGGGTTTGACTTGTTTCACAAAATATTAAGCCACGATAGTTCTGGCACAAACTCTCGAATACGGCAATGTGCAAGATCTGCCGCTGGAGAGGTAAGTGTCGTGATGTCTCGTCCCACTGTTCGTCCGGCTCAAGAGCGAAAGCGGCAGGAAGACTGGCGAGGAACTCAGAGCAGAATTGCTCGTACCGTTCTTCGGCTGCGATCGCGTCGTACTCTGCAGTTGATGTCTCGGGGAATCTGCGCCAGAATCCAGCTAGACGGGCCTGTAGTAACCGTCCTGAGAAAGTTTCTGGGGCATTGTCATCATTTGGGGTGGGCGCAAGGTGCATTCGCGGAAGAACATCTGGGTCCAGTGTGGCGGGGAGGAAAGGTATGCTATCGAGTTGCCGAGAGAGCATACTATGATACAGTTTTGTCAGAACAACAAACTGTATGTGCCACCGCATCAGCCAATGACGGCAAGATTACATACCTGTCCCAGATATACAGATTACACCAGACTCTCCGTCGCATCTTCTGTTCCAATACATGCATCTCAGGCATATGGGCCGTGTGGTTTCGATGAAGTCCGATTCTCTGCGCTACCAGGGCGGCTTTGTTGAGCACTTCCCAGAAGGCCAAATTTGGTCCCTCACATTGCAGTCGTAGGCCCAAAAAGGCTAGATGCTGCACGCGCAGTAGAGAGCCTCTAGCATCAAGCTGCGCGCAAATTTTGGCTAGTTTCTCTGCAACGTCGTTGCACAGCGTGCGCATATCAGAGAGAAGCATGCCACGAATGCGGTCGATAGGGTGAGATGGTGAAGGGAGGAATTGGGATACGTATGAACATAGTCGCAACAAGAGTACCACGAATTCCACATGGAATACGGTGGATATGTTTCCCGAGTTCCAAAGTTGTTGGTACTGGGATAAGAACCACGGCGGGTGTACGAGTTGGTCTTTCCTGCGTGACACATCAGCGTCAGGACGACCTTCTCTCGTTTGGTGATAGAGACTGGGCTTGGAAAAGCTTCTACATGCGACTGATACCAATGGTTTTTGGATGATTGACGAACAAGGTGTGAGCCGAAACTTACCAGTGAACTTCATCCACATAATGCTGGACCAGGAAGTCGCAAATCTGGCGATCTGGCATCCTCTTCATCTGTTCTAAGATCTCCGGGGATGCTTCTTGAGTAACATCTTGGTTATCGCGGTGTTGGCCGTTGGCAAGCCCTAGCTGTTTGAACAAGTACCAGTTAGAAACGAAGTGCATTTGGTCGATTACTACACGTTCGAATATCGCAACTGGAGGTGAGGTGAACTTACCTTGCGAATCAAGGCGACGGTGCTGCTTTCGCTGTACTCGAAGTATCCGAATGAGTCCGAAACAGAGCTGACGGTTGAGCCTGACGCAGGGCTCTGCCGTCTTGCGCTCTTCCAATTTGTTAGAGCGTCAGTGACGCGCTCATTGGCATCGCTATCTTGCGACTGCGCATCTTGAATCGCGGAGCGTTGCTCATCTCCATTATCACGAGGCTCTATCCTCGGAGCCTGTAGCGGCGTACGACCAGCTTGCAATGCCGGAGAAGGGTAGTATGCGCACTCCTCCGGGCGTCGACGACGTGAACAGTGATCGCACGGATAGCGACGGTTGCACTACGTATTGGAGATATCAAATTAGACCGATCCAGCTTTCTGTATTTTTATATGCATAGTCATGCGCTCGAAATCGCAGTCAAAGAAGCTATGGAAAAAACAAGACGTTCGCACCTTTTGTTTCTTCGTGTAGCATGGAATGCACGACGAAACAATCCTTTTTTTGCCAGTGTTCTGCATCTTGGACAAGAAAGAGAATCGTGATTAGGCAAGCAAGCGTGGAGAGGGAGGGACTAGTGTGGCGTGGTTTTCGTTGAGGAAGCCTTGAGTTTGATCCAACGAAGATCGACGTCAACATGTGGTTGCGCTGAGCAAGGGCGAGTAAGTGGACTCGTTCGGTGTTAAGACTGGAGTTAATTCAAGACCGGATTTAATGCCAGTACCGTTTGTTTGTATTGTCATGGTCGTGCTTCACTGTCGGGCTGAACAAGCTAAGCTGCTTTCGACTGTGCTATGAGGTTACAGCATCGAATGATGCACATGGCAATCACCATTTTGGTTATCATCTCATTGTTGGAAGTCGTGCATCGCAAGATATCGGGTGTGCGAAGTTTGTTCTTAAAAATCGGCCATGCGATATTGGTGGCTTATCCATTTCGGTCAGCCAATGCCCGCTTGATCTTGGTTGTGGGGTGAAAGGCCCCTTTGGTATTCCCGCTGCTTATCTACATTTCGGCCGACATATTACGGTCCTTGGCATTTTCAACCGTAGAGTATTACCAACCTCAAGGTTGCCTGCTCTATTTGGGCGACAATATGGGCGGTATACAACATGTTTCTAAATCGCTTCAACTTCAACAACTCGTACTAATCGACAAGTTTGTTCCTATCTGCTTTCCATGGATTCCAACACTTCTTCGACACCAGTCGCGCGTTCAATCAACGACGAGAAGCCAGCGGAGCGGACGCTTGGCAATCTCGGCAGCACGGCGGAACCGGAGAAGCCTCCGCGCGACATCTCTGGCTGGAAATGGTACCTGACTGTAGTGTCTATCCTGTTCTCCACCTTTCTCTACGCACTTGACGCTACGGTAGTCGCGGACCTCCAGTCTGTCATTGTCGAAGAATTCGGCGGCATTCAGCAGCTGTCGTGGCTGAGTGTCGGCTTCCTGCTTTGCGCTACAGCAACCACTCTTTTCTGGGGACGCATCTACGGCCAGTTCGATGCCAAGTGGCTCTACATCTTCCATGTGGCGATCTTCGAGATTGGCTCCGCCATCTGCGGCGCTGCGCCGTCGATGAACGTAATGATTCTCGGCCGTGCTATTACGGGCTTGGGAGGATCCGGTCTGTACGTCGGCTGCATGACGCTTATCGCGGGCACTACTACCATGTCTGAACGTCCGGTCTACGTTTCTGGTACCGGCTTTACCTGGGGCCTCGGTATCGTTCTGGGCCCAGTCATCGGGGGTGCTTTCAGCGAGTCTGCAGTAGGTTGGCGATGGGCGTTTTATATCAACCTACTCATCGGTGCGGCGTGCGCTCCAGTCTACCTGTTCCTCATCCCCAGCAGGGATCCTCGGCCTGGTGTCTCGTTCCTCGCGCGACTTACCGACATGGACTATCCTGGCACCATTCTGCAGGCCGGCGCGTTGACGACTTTCATCGTTGCCATCAATATGGGTGGTATCTCGTATCCGTGGGATTCAGGCCGCATCATCGCACTGTTCGTCGTATCCGGTGTTCTGTTCATCATTCTGGGCATTCAACAGTATTGGAACATACTCACAACGGAAGTCCGTCGCATCATCCCTGTGCAGTTCTTCCGATCACGGATGGTGCTCATTCTGTTCAGTATCACCGCTGCCGGCGGAGCGTGCTCTTTCGTCCCCATCTACATGGTCCCGATCTTCTTCCAGTTTACTCAGGGCGACGGTCCTCTCGATGCCGGGGTGCGGTTGCTCCCTTATATCGTCGTCATGGTAGTCACCGTCTTCATCAATGGTGGCTTGATGTCCAAGTTAGGATACGTTATGCCATGGTTTCTCGGTGGTGGCGCCCTGGTCGTGATCGGCTCCGCCCTCATGTACACAATCGATCTGGACACTGCTACGGCTCGCGTATACGGCTTCACGGTCCTGATGGGAGTTGGAGTCGGTATGTTTCTCCAGGCGCCTTTTTCAGTTGCCCAGGCAGTTGTCGAGCTGGAGAACATTGCGCCAGCGATCAGCTTCATCACGCTGGCCCAGTCTGTGGGCATCACGTTTGCTCTGGCCATCGCCAACGCTATCCTTCTCAACCAAAGCCAGGACAAGATTGAGGGTATTCTGACTGATGTCTCTTCAGCAGACATCCAGGCCGCTATCTTGGGTGCTCGATCGGATATCGTGCAGAACCTATCCCCGGAGTTGAAGACCCGCGTTCTTGCCGCTATCGTCAGTGCCATTAGCAAGACCTACAGCCTTACTATTGCCGGTGGCGCTCTTGTCCTCGTCTTGAGCATCTTCATGCCTCGCAAGCGACTCTTCCAGAAGAATGCCGATACCACTGCTCCCTAAGCTGGCTTTGGTCACCTACCATTCCGGTTCTGCTTCTCTATTGTCAGTTTGCATTGCCAGAAGCTCGCAACTAGCCTCTGTAGATCGGGGGCGGAAGGAAATGCGCGGATACTACAACATCAACACGGATGCGAGTGTTCCTCGCACCGGTTAAAATGTACAATTACCCTAATAGATTAATCAACAACCTTCCCTTCATACCACCACGCATGCTCCTCAGTGACAGATCATGAGCCTCGAAATTTACATTGCCTCTGTGACTGATGCTAAGTGTCGCGATACGGAGCACAGTACAAAGTAGAGTCGGTGATATGCCGGTTGGCCAAGTAGGAGAAAAGGAGCTTTGAGATGACATCACAAGACACAGCGCCAAGCCACTAGCCCAACTGGGCATCGCCTTCCCCTATGGCACTGGTGCCCCCGCGTTCAAATTGGTGGGCCATGCCACGGACACCCACGCACCCACACGCGCCGATTACAGTTATGACAAACGACGTGCCTTCGTCCACGCTGTATTCAACCCCGGTATCTTTCCCAGCCTCAGAACGTTGTCAATGGTAATTTGACGTATCGTCTCAGCTCCCGAGGTCGCCTTGGTACCTAGCCTTCTAGATTGTTGGTACATTCTCCATTCGGAGAAAGAATGGATGGACAACCACCTTGTGGCAGGCATTCCCCCGGCGTTGAACCGACAGGAACGCATCGTAAACAATTGTACTCATAACAATCGGGCGTCTCGTTGCAGATGGAACCCTCGACACAATCTGGTCGGCTCGCGATTAACGTCTTAAGCACTTTTAGGTTCTCGGATGTTCTAGCATTCGGTGTGCGTGCGACGACGCCGGCTGGAACAGCCCAAAGTTGAGCATCGGACGTCACTGCGCGGCCATCACTTCGTATGACATTAGTGCCTAGCCAGTTCACGGGACAGACACGGAAGAGGTCATGTTACTTACACGCCTGACATGCCCGTTCGGTTCTTGTCGTATCTCTTGATGTACTCAGCGATTTGGCGCTCGTTGAGCTGGGCGTAGTCAATGACAGTGTCACGGGCAGCGTTGAAACTACGCAGCACTCCGTCATCTGCAAGCCAAGTAATGCCGTCACTTGGTTCGAGGCTTCTCATAGCTTCAGCAAGCGACTGGATACACCGTCAGTTCTCAACCGCATGGATATGGTTTTTTGAGGTAAGTACGGGCTCATCTGAGGCTGCTGCCGCCAGCAGAAAGGTCGCACTAGCGGACACGTAGAGCGAGAGCTTCATATCGAATGTAGGAGCGTGTATAGCAAATCTAGTGGGGTGTAATCTGATAGAATAGAGTGTGCGTATGAGACATTCGAAATCGTATGGCAAGGTTAATGCTTTATAGAGTGCCTTCCTAAGGAAGAGTGTATACCACATCCCACATAGGACAAGATCACCACTGCATCTCACAGGCTGTTCTGTCACAAAGTGTCCTACATATTGCGATCAGCAATCCACCCTGCCGGACCTGCTGGCAGCGTCTTTCCACGACGGATGCGCTATGCACGCTGTTCATCAGAAGTCACGTCTCCACGCAAACTTGCTGAAGACATGATATCGACGGCCAGACACCAAAGTGTCCTCTCTAACTGGATTGCTGGTGCTTGCACTTCAAACACGGAACAATGTCTGCCTAGCTCACAAGAGTGTCATCGTACACAGGGCCTGATCTCGGGCTGCCTAGACAGAGGGACGCAGTGAGTATGATGATTGGCCGTGTACCCGCGCACTATATCCCTTCTTGAAGCGCTAGCAGCTCTTCTATAGGAGAGCACCGTAACACAACGTTGTAAAGTTCTGCACAGCGGCTGTGCCGTATTATAGCAACGTTACGTCATTTCGAGACCGGCTAGGCAGCATCGCATGCGTTGCTTATAACTAGGATAATGTCCTGCTGGTAGATTTTAGCCGCCTCACCCACCCATCGTCAACGAAACAACCATGTCCTCACCGACAGTGTCACAGCCGTCGTCCCGAGCGAAACCACCTCAAGATGAAGACCAAAGCCAAGACCAACTCGAGCCAAAGGATGCGGCTCAGGTCAAAGGCTCCAACAATGAGATAGTTCAACCTGCGCAACCTCAAACTGGAAAAGAACAATTCAATGCCATGCTGAGGTCAACAAAAATCCATCCAGATGGGCACTGCATCGGCTCGATCGGCACCGACGGTGTCTACAGAGAGATCCATTATCTCCCCGGTCCGCCCGACCAGATCAGCGACTACGAGATATACGATGCGGCGCCCATGACGCCAGAGATGATCAAAGCCTGGCTTGACACAAAGCCGTGGAAACAGGAGACGGAAGACAAGTACCGAGGAGCTGATGGCAGAACAGTTCCACAGGAGTAAGTGTGCACACTGAATATGTAAACATTAGCTGAATCTCGATGCGATGGTGCCTAGACAGTGGTGGAACCCGCCACCTGGCATTATCTTCCCTATGAAATCGAAGAATACGCGCGATGAGGAGATGAGGGTGTATCGTGAGGAGAGGAAGGCAAAGGAAGAGAAGATTGCAAGGGGAGAAATCGAAGCGGAAGTGCCTGTAGCGTGTAACAGTATCAAGAGTGACTATGATCTGAGCCCTCGCTAGGGGTAGGCTGCGGCTATGGTCGTCTAGAGGTTGGTATTATCCCCATGGTCGTGTTAGGATCGTATAGTTCATCGCCCTCGAGCAGCAAAGAGATGACGAGGGTCTGTAGATGGCTAGATGCGTTACCATGATCATGTCGATGATGCAAAATACAACGACTTTCCTTGAATGCCATACTTGCCCAATTAGCCTTTTTCATCCAATTCCCAGCGCTTTTGATACAAAGATGTCATTCTCATCCTACTTGATCATCAAAGCACAGGCCGTTACTATCCACGAACCTAAGTGTAAAGCTCCTCAGTAAGCGCATTCAACCCCATTCCCTCCTGAGCAATATCCTCTTCCTTCAAGAAAAGCAACGGCATCTCCACCAAATTCCCCTTAATCGTGCTCAGCACCTCCTTGACCTCCCTGACACCCTGTTCGCCCTGGGGGAAGTTCTCCGCAACAACATGGCCCCACTTGTACAAGCTCGGCTTCTTGTTTTCCTTGGCTTTTTGGTCCTGGCCGAAGAAGCGCGAGTAGTACTCGTCGTATTGCTTCCAGTTCTTGACTTCGTCGCTGGGGACGGGGTGGAAGATTTTGCCAAAGGCTTGCGTGTTGGTGTGGGCGCGCCAATTCCATAGGGCTTGGAAGTCGTCGGAGAGGGGGTCGGCGACTTGGAGATCTTCGGGAGAGCCCCAGTCGTATTGGTTGGCGACGCCGATGGGCTGGTAGTTGGCGTCTGGGCGTTCCATGTCCTGGGGCTTGAGTAGACCGAGGTGCTTTCTGAAAAGCTCTCTGCGGAGACTGGCTGCGAACTCGGATGCGCGGTAGGGTCGGCCATCCATGTATGAATCGACGGTCTTGGGGTCTTGGATGATGATTGCAATCTCGGAGTCGTGGTCGCCGAGCTGGGAGCGGTCGTTGAGGTTGGCAGAACCGCAGATGACGATCTGGTCGTCGGCAATGAGAAGCTTGCTGTGGATGTATAGCTCCTCAGATACGAAGGCGTCCATCTCATCTTCAGCAGAGCCCTCCCAAGGTACACGGCGGATGTCCTCTCCACCAAGCATGTAGCACTCGCTGACGGTGTCCCAGCGCCCATCGCCAAGGCCTTGTCGGCCACCGATCTTGACAGCTTCCTGCTGGTAGCGGTCGTAATCACCGGGCCTACCTTGGCTCTGTGGTCCGGCATCATACTGCTGGTGTCCTGACGGAGGGCGACCGGAGCCGTCCATCTCATACACTCCATACTCCTGGGTGGGTGGTGGGCGATAGGCTTCGTAGCCACGCGCGTTATCGTGTGCTGCATCGTAACCCTCTTGAGCTTGGTTGTAAGAGACACCGCTACGTTGCTCTGCCTCCTTCATCACCGAGCTGGAGTTGATGCGATCGTAACTGCGGAGGTTGTAGAAGCGGATGTAATCCATCGGGTTGAATCCAGCCCTAGCGATCTCTTCATAGATGGAGTGACCGCCACGGTTGATGGAGTCGTACTGAACTGTGTGACATCATCGTCAGCATAGCACATACGGAAGAGACGAATCAAACTTACACTCCATGATGGCTCGAGTGCCCAATGCTTCGTCGAGCTTCAAATCTCCAGCAAAGGCAGGTACGGCAGGAATCATGACGATCATCTTGTACTTCTCGCCATTTCGGGCAGCACGAACGATGCGCTCAACCATGGCCGCACCGATCTTGTTCTTGATCGGCTTCTGTTGATCGCCGGTAGCAGTGATGAAGAACTGGTTCTCGATGTAGATGAAGTGCTTGCTGTTTTTGATGATCTCACAGTAAGCATTTTGGATGGAATGCTAGCAAACTTGTCAGTGTTTATCCTCTCAGTCAGACATACTACTAACCTCAGTAGTGACAAGGTTGTGGCTCCATTTGGCAGAACTGCGGGCAATCTGGCAGTCCACCCCACCCCTCTGAGAGCTGTGTTCTGCGTGCGACTGTTGTTGACCGTATTGTCCATGCTCTTGGCCGCCGTACTGTTCGAATTTACTCTGCATCTTCTGGCGAAGGTGTCCACCAGCACCGTGTCCAAACAGCCCTCGCTCACCCTCCTCTTCACGACCAAATCCGCGTTCACCCTCTTCTTCGCTTTCCAATCCTCGCTGTTGCATCGAAGGGGCCTGTTGAGCTCCGCTGCCAGTGTCCGGTAACCTGGTGTATCTGGAAGATTTGTGAGAATATTTCTCGTCATAGATGAAGTTCCAACGTTGAGCAAAGTGAGTACGAAGATCCTGTACTACAGGCCCGGAGAGACACAGCGCTACATCTGACCATCCCATGCGAGAACTTTGGGTCCTGTCGAGTTTGTTGTTCTCCCAGTGGGTCACGTCTTGGAAGTCTACTCAATGTCAGCAAACATCACAGCCTCACGTAGGAAGAGACCGCCTGTCTGCCGTCTGGAAGTCCCAGAGTACGACGATGACTTACCTAGCATACGAGCGTTGTTGAAGTCTTGACCTGGAAAGACAATTCGGTCGATGTTGCCGGGATGCGCGTCAGCAATTGCGTGCTGGTTAGTGTCCCAACGACCGTAGCAAAGATCCAATCCTCCCATGAATGCGATGTGACCGTCAATCAGGCAAAGCTTTTCGTGATGAGCCCAGTACATGACGGTACCCTCGTGGGCACCGTAGATCGCCTTTAGGCCGTCTCCGGGCAGCTGGGCGAGCTTTGCTGGGGTGAAGGACATGTTCTTCATCGACGCAAAGAACGAAGACTGTAGTACTGCCGCATCTGGCAAATGGTCGGGGTGTCGGAAGACACCAATGTTGGGGTGAAGATCTTCCAAGTGGTGTTTGGTATGGGCTGAGGAGACTGTAATAGGAGGGGCAATCAGCGGATCTGTCTTTTCCCACTCTTCAAGACTTTTGAATATAACATCTAGGCCGACCCGCGTGAGGCCTTTGGTGAACCTATCCGTCGAACTCGGTAAAAGAGAATGAAGATAGTCTGGTAATGTTGGATTCAAAAACTTACGAGTCAGAGCTTGCGTAACCTCCTTGTACACGATGATGTTGACCTTGACACCGCGTTCTGCTGCCGCATGCAGCAATCGGTCGACCCGGTACTGCTGGTTCTTGGCGGGCGGTCGGCGAAGATACAGCTCGGGAGAGAGCCACCAGTCGAGGATCCAGATCGACTCTTTAGCGCGTTCCAAAGCTATGGAGACGGCGTACATGTAGCTACACATGTCAATTGGCAATTCATGCATTGCACTTAAGCATCCAAAACTTACCTGCAGCCGTCAACATACCACTTGGTCTCGTTGCCATGTCGTTCAGGCGCGAAGCTCAAGAAGCGGTGTTGTTGATGGTACTCTTGCCCAGGCTGAGGCTGTCCACCCTGCTGGCCTTGCTGTTGATATGTACCCGGCGGGGGCTTCTGCGCATTATCATCGCCGGATATGGCATCCTTGAGGTCGGAAACGAAGCCGTGGAGAGGGTCGTGGATCTTCTTGAAGAACGACATACCGCCGCTGCCCTGGTTTGAGGATGAAGAAGCGGGTTGGTTGTTCTGCGGTGCTAAGGTTAGGAATTTGTAGATCCAAGACAAGCTTCTAGATACGCGTCCTGTCCCTGCAGCGAGCTAGGCGGTGTAGAATAGGAACGCAAGATACGCGAAGACAGTGAATGACGAGGCAGCCCAACGCTATGACTGTCGGGTAGTGGGGCAATTCCACTTCCTCAACAGCGCGATACACATGGAGCGTACAATGACCGCATGGCGTTTCAAAGGAATGTACTGACCTCTTTTCTGCCAAAGCCAAAACGCCGACCCATGTCACCTATAAGGCCGCGATCTCCCTCGTCGCCCTCCTGCCCATGGTAGTCGCCATATGCCAGATCATCGTCTCGGCGAGACATTGTGCCGGACTGAGGCTTCTGGTTGTTTGCCACTCAGCGCGAAGGATGTAAAGTGGACGGGGTGTGCTGGAGCTTCAGAGTTGGAGCTTGAGGCCGAATTGACCCCGCGTCATCATCTCAGCGCGACGGACCACGCACATGCAATGCAGGGAAGCCCGAGCGTGCAAGCTGAACATGTGAAACAGACACCAATGAATTGTGCGCACCCTGATTTTCGTCTCTGTTGGCCAGGCGCGTACCGGCACTAGGATGCAGCATGTAGCCCCTCATAGCCCTGGAGTACCCCACCATGTACGGAGCTTCCCCCTCTTTTGACAGCTTCGCCATGCTGCGCGACATGTGTTGGTAGCAGTTCAACCACAATATCGCATTGCGAACACCAAAGAGAACTGTAATAGAGCTTTCCTAGATGGTACAAAGCGCCCGCTCAAGAGTCCACACAACTTGTGGGCCGCATGTAGATGCGGCAGACGCACATGGATGACGTACCCTTGTATCATCGGCTGCTTGAGAGCGGTTCGGTAGCTGGAGAGCTCCTCTTCTTATCTGCCCACGTCGTTACACAACATCGTTGACATAGCCGTCTCCTCCATTTGCTATATCTTTCGCAATGGCTTTCTCATCTCGTCTTGCGCTTTCTGCCAGGTTGGCAACTCGCACATTTGGATCTGTACGACCTGCTGTCCCTTTCGCAGCTACCCGCTGCTTCCACTCCACGCCTATCGCCATGGCGCAACACCCAATTGCTACTTTGAACGTAAGGAGAGAACGAATGTTTGTCGGGCGACGCTAACAATCGCATAGGAGGAACTCATCCCTCGTCTGCCTGCCTCCTCTCCAACCCTCTTCGAAGCAAAGAAGAAGAAGAACCTATCTTTTGAAGCTATCGCAAAGCACGTCGGGCGCGATGAAGTTGCAATCGCCGCTCTTTTTTACGGCCAAGCCATGGCTTCCGCCGAGGACATCAAAAAGCTCTCTGAAATCCTAGAGATCGACGCTGGGCTGCTCGAATCGCAGCTCTCAGGCTTCCCCAACCGAGGCAGCACGCTCGACATGCCGCCAAAGGACCCCACCATCTACCGACTATACGAGATTGTACAAAACTATGGACAGGCGTACAAGGCGGTCATGCAC